TTCACTAGTTCCGGTTTACAAGTCTCACTCTGGTGAAACCTGTGAACTCTTGTGAAGCTGGAGCAAGCTCGTCAAGCCATCATGGTAAAACCTGTCAACTCGAGAAGAGGCTGTCTAGATGGGTCGACACGTCGATGGGAAGTAGCAAAAGTGCAAAGTGCCCCCCCCGTCGCCGAACAGCGCCACCAAGCTGATCTGTAAAACCTGTGCTCTTGTTTATTGTCAAATCGCTCGAGCGGGAGCTAGTAAAATCTCCATTTTCCCCTGCCACGCGCTAGAACTGCCGAATAGGTTCCCTGGGACATGACGATCATCATTCCATTAGTTCAAAGCTTTCACGAAGAAGTCCGACCAACTAAATAGTAGGTGGCCGTCCAGTTGTGCGCTTGACATCCCACACGTCAACCAAGATAGCCAACAGTCACTAAATAGCTCGCACTTCCCCCTTATCAATGGCGCACCGAAGTAGACAACAAATAAACAAAGAAATACTACTGCGCAGCTCGGCTTGGGGGGAGGGGGCATTCCGCACTTTCGCTTCTTCTCGTCGTGTTGCGCCACCATGTAGAGAGTTGTGAACTCTTAAGAAGCCATGATGTGATACCCCAAATCTTGAAAAAACTACTTGTCACTACTTGTCAACTCCTGTGAAGAATACCAGTTCTTGTAAAGCAATTAGTACAACAATAGGAAGTAGCGAACGTGCAAAGATTCTCCCCCCCCCCCTTCACCCTAACTCGACCTGCGCCTGTAGAGATACAATTCCAGATGAACGTAATGAAAACAATCGGTGCCTGACGGCGAGAAACCTCACGTACCAACCGTATTCCATGCTGCTAAACGGCGACGATTTTGTTATATGATTATGACATTACTCGGAGAAAACTTAAAAGAATTAAAGGTACATGAATCAGTACCGCATGAAATTCAGCCTTTAACAGGACGTATTACAGCTGAGTTGTCCAAAGGAGTATATGACGGCAAAAACCTGGACACGGAATAGCTATACAGTGCCTGTACAGGTGAGGCGCCAAAGGTTCCACTCGCTATGATGAACCGTGGAGCATGTAATTTCCAGCGTAAAAGTCGTCCACGATTACGGTTTCGTACATCGTGATATCAAGCCGAATAATTTCGTCATGGGATATCGAGATGACTACGAAAGAGCGCGAATCGTACACATTCTCGATTTTGGACTATCTAGGTCATACGCTGTCAAACAAGTACGTTTTTCTTTGGGGCTTTCACAGGCATTGAGAATAAACTCGCAGGTGTTCATGACATCTTGGCACACCGACTGAAAACCCTTTCGCGTTTTCCACAGCAACTGAAGGCGGGGATGCATAAGGGCGTATCCTAGGTGCCCCCGCCATGCTCAGCGCACACATGGGGCCACGCAAAGGTGCTGGGGGAGGGGGGAGGGAGGGGAGGGAGATAGGAGGTGCTTTGGATCCCATTGGGAAGCACTGAGCACTGAGCTATCTGAAAGATATTTAGCCAGTACAATGATTTCTCGAGGTAGCTTGAGCTGGACCCCGGAACGCTAGAAAACTTATTGCCCAAGGGAAACATTGGCCCTCGCAGTTTACCTGCTCTCTGACGTTGCGCTATCTCTAGGGCCACATCGGCATGCCGCAGCGCACAAAGAAGCGTGCAAAAAATTGGAAGGGGGGGGGGGAAGGTAGGGAGAAGGTTGGATGTCACTCTCCAATGTTGTGGCGCCCTTACCCTTTCTAGCTACTTACTCAACAGATTCCCAAGCACAACCACTTGAAATGAATCCTGCTGCGAACATTCACAACGAGCCATTACATATAGCTGAGCCACCACAATGCTCCACATAATATTAACGGTCCCAACACTTACAGGCACATTCCACGATAGGCGGATGGGTGGGGACTGCCGCCCACCATGCAGAACACTCCTCGTACCACTTGGAACGGCAAAGAGCGATTTGAACTCGCCGGGGTTATACCTTGTTCCATGTGGGAAAGTTATAGTGTGGGCAACGAGTTAAATGGTGGTGAATCTCCGCCCATCCTTCTATCGAGGAATGTGACTGTAAGTGTCAGGACGCTGAGTCATCTGATCAGGTGTTCAATCTATACAGTGACGATTCTTGCAAACTATAGGGCGTCAGAGACATGGACACGGCTCCGAAGGCGGCAGGCGGAGATCAAGACATGGACATGGCTCGGAGCGCAGCCTGATCGGATTTCCCATCAGCTGTATCAGGCTCAGGATGACATCACTGCCGCAGAGAGGGCGCACTGGCTGCGCTGCAATCCACGCCGCGTCACACGCCCTATCGCTCATAGGGAGGATCATGGCTGTACAATGATTTGAAGGGCTAGCTTGACCCCAAAAGCCTGGAAAACTTACTGTTTACGACCCAAGGCGAGTACGGATCCCTGGAGTTTGCCTCTTCTGTGAGGCTAAGCTATCTCCAACCTTAATATCATATCCACCATATGGGAATGCATAATTCTTCCAGAAAGATGGAAAATGGGTCCCAAGACGAGCACGAGGTACGGCCGAATTCCGCGGAACGTTACGATATTGCTCACCGAACGTGCACGAAGAAGAAAGAACAGGTACGTTAATGGAAAAGGCCTCAATTTGAGAGTTTTTCACTACAAACCCATCTTTACGGATTAAGGGACGTCGCGATGATCTGTGGTCACTTTACTATGTTTTTATCGAGTTACATTGTGGACTTCCATGGCAGACATTACGTGACAAGCAAAAGGTGGGTGAGACTTGCTGCTGAAAGTATTGCCCATAACCTATGCAATGTTAAGGTCGAGTTGCTGAAACTGAACATGAACGATAAGGACCTTGTGCTGAACTTCCCAGGTAACTCAGATGAAATCAGCTGTGCTGCTACTGTACAACTGACGCGTGCGGTTGCAAAGCGGCTACTTTCCCAATTTTGAATTCCTCAGCGAATTTCTCAACCCAAGGGAGACAGTCGTGCTGACAGTCGTTATTCCAGCGAACGAGTGGGCGCTGGGGGGGGGACGCAGATCGGAGAGCAGTCAGGGAGACATTTCCCACCAAAAGACCTCTTGCTGATGGCGAGCTCGCAACAACTGGTGAGGAAAAGGTTGCCCCGGCAGGGCAGCAACCTTCAAATGCCCTATCGTTAGCGGGGATAACTACTGTAGCTTGGAGGGAGAAGAAAGTGCTCCTACTTGGCTCGGGAGAGATTGGGAGAAGGATCTACCGAATGAAATCATCCTCAGCTCCATGGCGTGTCTCGTTTGTTACCCAGCTGGCGACAATCTCTCTGCTGTCACAACCTGTCCAACGCTCACCCAAACGCCGCTGCGCAGCACCCCGCGTCATTAGTTCACGAATCACAAGATTTAAAATAAGGATGATTTCAGTTGAACTTCATGGCATTATACCGTATCTACGTACGCTGAATTACTATCAAAGACCTGATTATTCGTGAGTTCAAAACTCGCAAAAGTTCTAAAGTTCAGCCGTACAGCACGTCTGATTTCTCAGGATGTTCTACAATGGTCTAGTGGCAGTAATGAAACGTGTGGGAGCTAAAGCATCGGATCCGTACGATTGGGAAAGGCCAGAATATGTCAAAAATATCGTAAGCTCCTCAACATCACAATGATTTAAAGACACATTTCGCGACAAACAAAGTTTGCGGACACAACTAGTGTCTGCTTCTCAGTGGTCAGACCCTTCCTTCCAATATTATGATTACGAGTGGCTTTCCGGTTAGGAAGTTACAGTCTTGTTTTCGGTGGACGCTGGGGCGTGTCAGGTGGGTTGGATTTGCGGTGGCGCCAACCCGCTCTCCACCAGTTGTTGAAGAGGACAAGCGGCAACAACTGGTGGAAAAGAGGCAGGCGCCGCTTCGCACCCAGCTCCTTGACGGGATGTTGTACCATCCGCAGAAAATAAGACTGCACAAGATGAGATGTTTATGAGTCTCCGCCCACCATCATCGAAAAAGTGGGCAAGAAAGGGTAAGGATAGTGCCAAAAAATCTGTTGGAAGTCGTTCTTCCAATCAAAAAATCAACTGGACCTGAGTAGATTACAAAAACAACTGAAATACATTCCAGCAAAAACGTTTGAAAGGACCGTACGCCTGGGAGAATGCAGCGGAATTTTTCAAAAGTGATCCTATCAAGGTGAACTCGGCTCCGCCTCCAAAGAAGAAGAAGCGGGTGAGTAACGCCCTCCCAAAATGGGTATAAATCCGCCATTGCTGGTTTATATTAAAGGCTGGGGCGTTTCAGCGCAGTGGGGGGAAGGAGGGGTAGGTTCGGCGCGGCGTCAACGTTCTCCACCAATCTTGGAAGCTTGCAAGCGCCCACTATAGGTGGAAAACGGGCTGGCGCCGCGCCAGACCCAGTCGCTGTGAACAAGACCGTACATTCGTACTCGCCGACACCCTTACCGCAACCCGTCATTGCCCTTTTTCCAAGACTCCCAGCATAAAGAATAAGTTGGAAGAGTGATTCCCACTCGATCCCCCGTTTTTTGGCTTGATGAACTTTCATTACAGAAGGAGACAGTCAAGCAGTTCCCACCGCTGGAAGAGGAAGGAAGGAGAGACTCGTCCGAACATACGGCCGGTAGTACAGACATAGAAAAACGAATAGAATTGCCAACGGAATTGACAATGACCGAAATGGACAAGAAGCTTTTCGAGCGGTTCGGTATTCAGAAAAAGGAAGACGAAAAATTACGTGAACTCGGTGTGAGATTATCAGGAGAAATTCTCCGTGGGCCTCTTGAATTTGACGAATCGCTTGACGACTTCAAAAAAGATGCAAAAAAGGAGAAAAAGAAAACGGACGAAGAAGTCAAGAAAAGAAAGACGGACGAGGAAATCAAGCGAAGGAAAACGGACGAGGAAGTCAAGAGAAGGAAAACGGACGAGGAAGTCAAGAAAAGGAAAACGGACGAAGAAGTCAAAGTGAAGGGTGACAAGAAATTGAAGAAAACAGATGAAGAACAAAAAGAGAAAAAGAAGTTGAGAAAAACTGACGAAGAGATTAAGCAGGCTAAGCTAAAGGAAAAGAAAGTACACGGCAAATCAAAGGAGATACCATCACCGTCTAAAGAAAAGGTTGTTCCGGTACCGAAACCGAAGATTGTCCCGCTGTCAAAGAAAAGATTGCCCCTACACCGAAAGACAAAACTGAAGAAGCAAAAGAAAAGCCGAAGAGTGATTTGAAAGAAGTTGGGCAAATAAAGGATGACAAGAAGGAAGAGATGACAGCGCCGACACCCAAAGAAAACGATCTCAAGGGCACGGAAGAACCAAAGGGACCAAAGGAACCAAAGGATCCGCAGGATAAAAAGCAGACAGAAGGTGGAAAATCAAGCGACAGTCAACCGCCATCGGCCGTCGCCGGTCCCGGATCCGGTCCCAGCTCCGGGCAACAACCTCCTCAATGATCACACTGAAGCGGTTGACAATTAAGAAAAAGAAACACATATCTAATCACTTTGAAATAAACCTTCTTCCCTTTATTTTAGTTTATAATTTCGAAGAATAAAGTGAAATAAAAATTGTTCCAATCGTTTCCTGTAGCAAGATGAATTCAAAATTCACAACTCTAAACCGCTAAGGCAGCGTTTACACTTCGCGATGGCGCGCGTCAACGCGCTACCATTAGCTAAAGCAAAGCATACCCCACACTCTCTGAATCGGCTCCGATCGATTCCGTATGCGCAGCCGCGTTTTCGCGTCCATACCATTGGAGTGATGTTGCATTTCGGTCTACGCGCATCACCGCGAAGTTTGAACGTTGTCTGAACGCCACGTGGTTGAGGAGATGCGAGTAGCGGCATTACCACGCACAACAACCACTTTTACTTGCTAGTTGACCTGACAAGCACTGGCGAAAAACAATTAGGTCATCTCAATCTACGCACTGGTACGTTATTTTCGCGCGCTTACCTCGAAATTTGACAAACGATTAAAGTCGCCTTTTTCTCCTCCATAGTTGGAGGACTTGTTATGCAAGAACCGTTAAAGAAGAGTGCCATACTTTGCATCAGAGCGTATGGCAGCGTTTTTTGAGCGACAAGAAAGATATAGGGATCGATATCTCTATCGAGGGATCTAGCGCTTTAATAGTATGCCAGCGTTATCAGCGACTACCCGCGAGAAGTTCGAGATCCGCGAAACTTTAACACTAACGCGACGTATGAACGCACCCTTAGAACGCTGACGCAAAGTATGAACGCACCTGAACGAACCTAATCTGACAATGACACTCAAAAATTACGCATGACGATGACATTCGATTGTCGACTTTTTTAAGACAGGGCCCGGTTATTGCCTCAAAACTGCCTTGCTTTGAACACTGCCTGCCATCTGCTAGGGAGAAGGACAATCGTGATTCACCGCGTCGCCCCACTTGCCGTGCGGCAAAGCGCGGCGATTGGACGATGCACAGTTTTTCGATAGGAGCAGCGAAAGTCACATGGGTTCAACGCAAAGGTAATTCCATGACGGGCAATATCAAACTCTCACTTTCTTCCCCCCCCCCCCTCACCCCTCTTCATTTTCACAGTCGCATTGGGAGGTCCAGGCAGAAGAACTCGTCCTTAGGGCGCTGCGCCGCTGCGAACACCCTACCAGGCGGCGGGCAAGTTTACGATTGTCTTAACACATATCGCTAATGAGGAGCCGACAGTAAGAGTTTTCGCCCTACTATGAGGGGTCGCGAAGACCGCAGCCAGATAACTATGAGGCAGCAGTATCGACGACTAGCCGCTTCGGCAACCGCCACGCTATTCATGCATACATAAATGCGACACATCAAACACCGCCACCTGGAACCAGAAACTTTAGCAACAGCGAAGTGCGAATTTCGTCGCGACTATAAGCAGCAAAGATTAAATTGATATTATTTTATCTCCGGGAAATCTACACACAATATACAATTTTGATCCTAAGGACAACCAATAATTTGCCAACTATCATTACACTAACATACAACTAATGAATGCGCATTGAATGCGAGACGATATGATTACATTTTTGTTAATAGATCACATCTTCGATTCAAAAATCGACTGAATGCTAAATAAATGAAGATTTTCCAGCGCGTTTGGCACTATTTAAATGAACTAGTAAGTGAGAGGTAAGGACCTTATCGCATTAAATGAATCAGTAGGTTATAAGAAGGCAAGGAGCTCAAGGCTAAGATCATACAGCAGAATCCACCAAAAGGGAAAGTGAGCAAAACAACCATTAGAGCATGTTAAAGGTATCATGACACAAGAGCGGAATAGATCGTCCTTAATTGTTGAACTTTCGACCAGACACCACCTTTCGATATAAGCTCGTTCAGCTGAAAATCACTCCAATTATTATTTATTTATTCATTTAATAAATAATAACTCCAATTATTGCAGGAGTTTACTAGAAAGTAGAAACTGACAACTCCCGCAGTTCAAAACGTTGTAAGAATCATTATAGTCTTGCTCGCTGCGGACGCTGGGGTAGGTCAGGAGGCTAGCTTTGGGCTTAGCTTCAGCCAGCATTCCACCGATTGTGGCCGTCTGAGAGCTTCTGGTGGAGAACTGGCTGAGTGTCACGCAAAAAACAAGCTTTGCCGACACGCCGCCAGTCGTCCGCAACGTGAACACGCTGTATGTAAGGGCTCTAGTCTCACAAACCGATGCGATTACGTGTTGGGTAGCTGACACCTTCGCGAGTGGGACCACACTCTTCGCGTACGTGTTTGGTTGATATGCGATGACACAACCATTCCCCCCCCCTATCCCAAAGCGAAGATTTTCCCGCACTAAGAAGCTATATTGGAACATTAAAGTCCGCATGAAAAAAAACCGAGACTCACACATGCAAGGACTCGTTCATGTTTACCAGTCCATTGCTGTTTTAGTCGAGCAATGTCGGCACGGATTTCTTGTCTTTCAGACTCACTTCTGCACTCGTCCAAGTCTCTGAAGAGTGAATATCGAGTAACGGCACGTTAGGTACCCCAATGATGAAAATACGGCACAGTTCGGCTAGTGGGGGCACCAGAAGTTATTCAGATAAGTTCGGATAGGCCACCTCATGAAGACCTAAAGTTCACGTGAGCAAATTGCGAACAATTTCGCAACTTTAAACGACTTTACAGGTCTGACCAAGGTGCGACTTGTTAACCAACATGAGCTACGAAAGGAATTATCAAAATTGCGAAATGCCCCTCGAAGCTGAACAGCGGCGACTGCACTAAAGCCGCGTTCATGGGGTACTGGAGAACTGGCGAAGCTGCAAAAACGATTAGATACGCACTACTGATATGGTCTTTACTTGGGAGAAATCAGTCGGCAAGGCACGTATCTTGTCTTTTTTTGTGCAGGAATTCTGCACAAATTCGCCAGCAGTGACCAGTTGAATGCAATCACAAGTTTTGAAGTAGTCAGGAAGACAAACATGTGCAGTAGACGCATCTGTTCCGAATGAGAGCGCTTCTGTCGAGCGAGGTCCCTCTGGAGTGCTTGCGCGTAGTCCTTACAACGTGAGTCGTAGATGATACTCCTCACTAAAAATTCTCTATCATCCACAAGCATAATACACGGGAAACAGCAGTGTAAAGTACTATGAATCAGCTTACTGAGCGGAAGCCACTCCTGGAATCGAGTGCTGGTTACTTTCATGACTTGCTGTTGATTGCCGGCAATGGAAAAGGTATTCGAGGCCTGAAAAGTATTCACAATCAAACTTGTAGAATAAAACAATTAGGAGTGCGTTCATACTTTGCGTCAGCGTTCTGAGCGCCGATAGCGTTTTCAGCGCGAAAAGTTCAAAATACCCACGAAGCGCTCAGGACGCTAGATCGATATCTGTACTTTCCTACTCCTTCGAAATGCTGTCGCGCGCTCAAAACGCTGACGCAAAGTATAAACGCAGTCCAACAGCTAGCATACCTTCAGCCCGGAACCAACAAAAGGTTGTTTCTTATGGGTGGGAGATCTTCTGCGGGTAGGTGGCGAGTCCTCATCCTCGTCGTCTTCATCATCTACCTGGTCTTGAGCAGCCTCATCTGGTTCCTTGTCATCTGCAGGACCTTGCTCATTTGTTTCTTCAGTCATAATTGCCGCATCATGTCGTTCACACTCTTCGGGTGGTGGAGCTTCCTGCAACCGATTACTCCAGGTCCATCACTAGTCAAAAATTTAAAGGCAAGGGGCACCATAAATCGACAAGGCGTACAGTGTCGATACGCCTGCCACGAAAGAATATTCTGCCCTTACGGGCTGCGTGGCACCTTTTCCAATCAGCACCGTTATAGCGCCTAACCGAGGTGTAACATGCCAATGCGCACGCCCACCGCAACCGCCCGCCCACAAATGGCCGCGCAGTCTCATCGACGCTGGTACTCTTATCGCTTCATTTTTTAACGTTCAGTGAATATAAAGCGTTGCTACACAGATATATGAATACATACGTGCAGCCGTATCAATCAAAGCGGTTGTTGGCACGATGCCCACGGAAAACTCGTCCAAAAATGCTCGTTCAATACCGTGCGAAACAAAGTTTTTTGCAGCCTTTCGGCCGTTCGAGTTCGCTTTTCGTCGTTTACCCACTATACACCACCCCTGCTACCATTTTTGAACAATTACCAAATTATCCTACCCTATACCTTTAGATCAGTAACTTACCTCTGAGCTTTTGTTCCTTGGTAGCGGATGGTAATTCACGTGTGGTCTAAAGTGCACTCTGCCTCTGCTATACAGGGACCTTCCGATGACAACCGGTCTGCCACGCTTCCCACCACCGGTTCTTCGCTGCTTCTGTACATGATGACGAGTGTCCTCCTCTGGCTCTCCATGAATGATACTTCGAGCTGCAGCACCGTCGAATGCCTTCCGCCTAGACGTTCATCATATAAGGCCACAACAATCACTCGCAAAGAGAAATTTAGAGAAACTAAGCGGCTCAAAGACTAGAGACATTCACGCATAGAAAGGAAAAATGGCCGAAGATCTCGACCGTAGACCCTGCCCAGTTTGCTCATTATTCTCCATCAGAAAACGGGCAACTTTTTCGGTCACAGGACAGCATGTGGGTTGAGCTAGACACAGTCTATCGCCGAAATCCCAAGCCAGTTTTTTTTTGTAGGTGCATATGCCCGGAGTTCAAGCTTCTCGTTGTCTTTGAATTGAATACTACACTCACGCTTCATCACGTTTGCCAAGGTGAGGAACGGAGTCGATATCCAGCATTTGATAAATGTCGTCTGCATTGGATTTCAACTTGAACGGTTGAAAACGTGGCTTTCCGTCAAGCGACCCAATATGGAAACCATCTCGTTTACTACCGGACTGGAGGCCATGCAGTTCATGCTTTACACGATGAGTTATGACCACGTGACGAACAGGAACTGAAAATTATGTCCATTTGAACAGGATAAGTAAGGGTTTGTTCGACGCCTGGACTTTTTCCGTGAGACAAAGTAATCACGTCCATTGCACCATAAAGTCCTCGCCATTTGAAAGCAGTGGATAAGGGTGTCTTGGAATTCATTCTACCTCAGCGCTTCTACCACCATCCTTGGGTTTGCAAATTATCGCACAGTCACTGGTACAGCCGATAAAGCCGGATCTATAGCCGTGGAGTACAACATCGTGAAGTGTCGTCAGTACGATCCCCTCCAAGCGTACTTCCCTCCGATGGGATCACTTTCCCATCCTACCTAACATATTCCTAAGTTTTCCCCATTTCTACTTTCTCAGAAAACTTCAGCTCTCCCCCACAACAACTGCTGCCTAACGAGCGGGAAGAGGGAGGGTGAGAGGGAGTTGGGAAGGATTGCGAAAGCCAAGAAAACAATTTATGGAGCTTGGAAAAGTTCCTGTCAAGGCCAGATACCACGCCCACCAGCATGATGTACAGGGTGAATCCTGACGTGACGAATTAAAAGGGTGGAAAAGCATATACGAAACGGGGAGACTGCAACAAGTCAACATCCGAAAAAATTCTTTCGAGACGTAGTATAACCCTGCCCCGCCCCCCACAACGCCACCAGTAAGCACGACCCTCACCCAATAAGAGCTCCCGACGATGTGGATAGCGTGTATGAAATAGGAAAAACCTACCATCAAAAAATTTATACGCTAAATACAACCCCTCTCTCCAGCGAAAGAATACGACTTCCCTCGCTTACGACTTTCAAAAAGAAGTTATGCAAAAAACTCACCCTTGTGAGTGTTCACACCTTGTTCTCTCAGATGCTTATCGGAGTGCCGGTCGAATGCTCCGCTACCAAGCCTTCGTAGAGCATTAGAAGTGTGTCTAGTGTTTTGTCCTGCATTATCGCTAAGAAGCTGAACGGAACCACGAGAACTGAGCCGGGCTTGTTCCACAGCGGATGTTCCGCGCGATCCACTAGCAGGCCTATCCAGCGAAATTCTAAATAGATAAAATATTTCTGGGCTCATCAAAGGAGCTCTGCTTCGAAATCCTCATCAATTCCAACCGCCTCAGTTCTCGATTATGTCAGCGTTGACGAATCAACTCGAATAAGATCGCGTTTAGTTAAGAAATCATAATATAACATCATTGGCGGACAGTAAAAATAGGATCCAGTAATGAAACTAACACTTCGTCAGGCATCGTGAACGAGTCCGGAATAGTCTCGTCTCCTTTTGGAACGGGAGAATTGCCCCCTTGTGCCCGTCCAATCAGATCGAAACCATCTAAGGCCTCTCGAAGAAGGCGAACTTCTTTTGTCAATGGGTCACGTCCTGTTGATACCGTGCTTACACTGCCGGCACGAGATGATAATGCCTAAAGAAGTCAGTAGTGCAAAAGCGCTATAGGAATAGGTTTTTTATTCAACATCTACCGTTGGTAGCGTGGATGGAGCCGCAGGATACGATAGTGGCCGTAGACGATTCTCTTGCGCTAATCTTTCCCTCAATATGGCTTTAAGACCATTCATTAAACGGTCACCTTGAGTTTTCAATTCATCACTAAACCCGTTCTCAACGGACATCGATATCTGACTTGTGGTTCGGCGAAGTGGATCATATACCTAAACGAGTAGAATAGCACAATTTTTGAAGATCAAAAGCATTTACAGGCTGCGTTCATACTCTGAGCGTCCACCAGCGCACGCCGTACAGCAGCATTTCGAGCGAACGCCACCGCCAGCGACTAGGAAAGTATGGATTCGATCTAGCTCCGCACAAGCGCCAAGTATCACACCGTCCACGGAAAGGAGAATAATGGAAAAAAGGCAAAAAACTTTATGAAGGGGGCAACACAGCTGATTAGGCGTCGCCGAAAGCTGCGGCGCTGTGCAACCGCACGCCGTACATACAACACTAAACTATACAGTAAATTGCTTAATCCAGATCGTAATTTCATGACGCCTAATTCGTGACAGGAGGTCCTGCTTCCCAAAACTCCCCACTCCATATACTGTAGTTCGCTACAGACGGTTGGGCGTGTCAGTGCGGCTGCGTTTGGCGCGGTGCCAAACTCGTTCTACACCAGTTGTTGAAGCGGGCAAGTGACAATACTGTATCATATGCTTCGTATTACTCGTTTTCTACCACTTTTTGTCGCATGCGCTCTTCAACAAGAAGGCAGAGAACGGCTCTGATAGGGTGACACTCATACTGGCTGACACGCCCAACCGTCCGCAGAGAACTAGAGTGTAGACGCTGACGTTTGCGAGATCGATATCTATACTTTCGCAGTAGCTGGAACGGCTATATGATGATGGACGCTGCCGCAAAGTGTGAATGCATTTTATCAATAAAGGCCTCAGTTCTCGATTATGTCAATGCTCTTCGGGGTTCCTCTGAGCTCGAATAAGATCGCGTTTAGTTATTTACTTTTACATAAACATCATTGGCCAGAAGTTCAGAAAGTTTACAACAAATGGTCGTAAGACTGAGGTTACCTGAGTTGAGCTGGCCATGGACTTTTGCAAGCAGCTGAAGCTGGACACACGAGCAATCGGGCTTATTTCACGTCGTGCCCCACGAGAAGATCGGTGATGAGCGTTTGATCGATTCATAGGCGATCGATCCTTTTTCGTCGATGTATTCGAAGGGTGGGGTAGAATTATGGCAGAATGGTCTTGACTTTCATAAATTATCGATTTTTGCTGTCTCGAAACCTTTTGGAATACAGGTTGACTGTCATCAAGAACCATTGCAGGGAACGTCATCGTTGTTTCTCTGGAAACAGCAGGTCGTAGCTCTTGTTGCTCAGCTCCCATGGCACTCTCCGAGCACGGTCGAAGCTCATACTGTTCATAAGGGCGTCCTCCTTTCTTTGTTATGCATGACTGAAAAATTGTAAAGATAGTGAATTCTCAAGAATGAAAACTCTGACAAGCCCCAAACTGCTTTGACACCTTGCGATTCTTTCGACCGATAATCGATGTCGAAATATCTAAACTTCTGAATTCAGTTTAACTGCCGAAATTGTCAGTATCGTAAGGTGTAAAAGCAGAACTAATATCGTTCATCGAAGTGGCTCAATTTCAAGATTTAGTAGAAGTCTCGATAGAACATTGTTCGCTGCGGAAAAAGGATTTCATACAGGATGGATTTGACGCGGCGCCAAGCCCGTTTTCCACCAGTTCTTCAAGCGAGCAAGCAAGAAGATAGTATAAACAACATATCGGTTGTATCGGCGCTGCAACAACTAGGAGAGAACGGCCTTGGTGCTGCGCCGGATCCATCCCGCTGGACATGCTCCTTAGCCCGCAGCGAACCAGACTATAACCCTGCAGCTAACAATAGCCTTTAATGACTCAAGAATATCACTCAGCGAAAAAAAAACATAAAACAGCTTTTAAGGCCACATTACGCCTCGCCTCATAGTACGGTGGCGGGATCCGTGAATCGCGAGAATCGGCGACAAAAAATTGGATGGCACTTAACTGAGGCCGATTCTCCCAAAGCGTATACTGCCTTTGCCACAACTTTTTATTCTCGGAGAACGTTGGTGAATGGTTACAACCGATTCCCATTCAACTCCTTGTCACCCAAACTACCGAATCGTCCCCATTCCCTGGGGATGAACGCGGCCCTGAAGGCGAACCCCGCGTCGATTTAATGGACGGACACCTTCTTCGGACATGGTAGTACTGTTCGCAAGCTGAAAAATTGACTACTTTCGCAACTCAAAAATACGTGATAAAAGTTCGGCCCGCTCGCGCCGAGGCCACGGCTTCGCTCACTGGCCCAGCTTCCAATTTCACCTGCTATCTGATGATGCGATTGTTCCGCTACTAACAGTCTCCATTTCTAACGGTGAGGATGTCGGGATAGAAAGAGCTTCCACCAACGAAGAAGAGAACTTGTTCGACCACGTCCGTTGTTCGTCTTTTGCACATGCAAGCGCGATCCATCATGGGGTTCCATATGGGCATTTCTGGAGGGGTTTTTCTACGGTTTTCCTCTCTAGTTTTGTGTTATTTATCACCTTGACAATAGCATTTGAGCACAAATCACCATTTCTGAACCCGGTGCGACTTCATCCTTGAACATTTAGGAAATCAAGTTAAGTGTGGTATTGTTCTTCCTTTGTAAGGACTAACAAAAAAGACGTGAAAATCAATTTACAAAACCTAAAAGAAAATCACCCCGTCAATAGAACAGATCCATCGGTCAGCTTCGTCATCGAGTTTCAATGACTCATCGAGTGCTGGTGATAGGCCATAGCCCTCGTCTGCTTCATCTAGCTGAGCATCCTCGCCCATCTTCTAAATAAAAAAGGAATAAAGAATCAAAATGAATGGGAATGCGATGACATGAAACGAAAGCAACAATGAGCACTAATGGGCACATTTCCATAACAGAGAGCATTCCAGTGCATGGGGGAGTTGTTGCTAAGGAACGTAAAAACATCCCGATTGGCTCTCACTCGATGGAATGCTGCTCGCTGGCTTAGTTAGCTGAGAAGCTGCCATCGTCCACTAAACGCGATTCCACAGAATAAAACGCGGTCTCTACCAAGGAAACACTTTCTTAAGTTGTTCTGTCAAGTCTTAGTTTATCTTTCGACCTCCTTTCTCTTTCTTTGCTTTCCTTCCTTCCCTCTTCTCCCTCCCCAATTTTCCTCCCTTCAAATGCTCTGCCAGAATATGCGATGAAGAAATACCTCTGGATCCTCACAGGGAGAGAATATCCCGTTGACAGAAGTCCTATAACCTTTTCAGCACCAGGGCCTCAGGAGGGGGCCACTCCTCAGCAAGAAATAGTGGTCGCAGATCTCTTCTTTTAGAGTCGCAGATCTACGTCATGCTATCTACGTGGAAGACAGCATAGGGGAAGTGGCAGGTTTTGACGTTGACTAAGCCATGACATAACATATCACGCTATCTCGTTGGCATGATACCGACAAGCAGAGATGACGTGCTTGATCCCCTCTTGTGGCACATAGCACCCCTTTCTATAATAAACTTCACCTGTATGAGACTATCAGCCTCCCACCTGTCGATATGTCGTGGTCCCCCGCCCAAAACTGCACGAGTCAGAGTATAGCTATAGAGCTTCAAACTAACGAGTGGGACGCTTAGGCCGTTTTTATTGTCATGTTCTGTGGGAATGCGCGGCCTCTGAGGGATATTGCAGAAGCAGCACAGTTGCTCTTGAGTTCTAGCCCTCGTCATCATCTTCGGTTGCACCTAAAATGTTATCCGCATAAAGAAATTGCGTTGTACTTGTATTCCAAAGCGCAATTACAGGACTTGGCAAAAAGCCAAGAGCTGCACGCGACCGCGCCGCGCGGATGGTGTTAGCATAAACGTGAGGGCGGTGTAGCAAGGAATTACGACTTTCCCACGGACCCCGTGCAGTTTTGGGCGGGGGGACCACGACACATCGACAGCTGGGGGGGGGGGGGGGCTGATAGTCTCATACACCCTCAATGTGTTTGAGCATACCATGTGTCTTTAACAATTAAGGGCGCTATTTTAATAGAGTGGAAGCAATATCCAGTTGAGGCATCACTGCAACCTGGCTGGTCCGTCTCGCGTCACCGATGCGGAGATCAAAGTGAGCCGAGTTGTCTTTACTGATCGATACCATTAGGTTGTTGTTGTTTGTTCTGTTGTTGTTGAGGCGTATGAGGACAAAACACATCTGTTTTTCACTCTTTCAGGCTCTGGCGAAGGGAAGAAGACGAAACGTTGGCCCCAAGCTATTCATCTAAAATACAGTACCCAATAAATAAGAGAAAGTCGGTCCTGGTCGATTCTAGAAAAAAGGGCATTTCAGTGTGGCGTAGTGAATGCCCTTTCTTGTGCAGAGGTGGTTGTTCACTCACGTCTCAGGGCACTTGTCAACCGAGAAGCCTCTCTTCTCTTTCCTTTTTCTTCCTCCTTCCTTCTTTTCCTTCCTTCCTTCTCTGATCCCTCCTCCTTTACCTTCTCCCTTCAACTACTGGGCTGGTAGATGCCTCGAGAAAATACCCTGGACCCTCGCAGCGAAAGCACGTCCGGTTGACAACCAGAACTAGCCAAAGAACTTTTGAACGACCACGCTACGGGCATGACGACGAACGACATCAGGAAAAGTAGAGCCGAAAAAGTTTATGAGGATAAGAAGACTATAACGAAACTTGTACGACAAAAGAAAAAAAAACCCGATCTGGAGAATACTTTACGATCATGGGAGAACCTACGAAAAGGACTAATTACTAGGTCACGATAAATTACATAGTAAGTACAGATTCCCAATTTTTCAATTCGATGCATTTACTTTCTTTTCATAGATTATCTGATGTCTGTAATGTTGCAAAATATGAACGCAGTCAGAGTTTCAAAATAATGATAACGAACTGATGGCAGAGATGTTATGGGAAGCCCCTTAAGGGCTACAATTTCATGTTATAACAGCAGAGCAACACAAATTCATTAAATGGAATAAAGCAAGGTTGATCATTCCTCGATGGCGACAATGATTCGAACAAGCTCAAGCTTCAAAAATACCCGATAACTGTCGATCGATAATTCGACAGAATGATTGAGTAAACATTTGCACCACTCCGCTTCTAGATAAGCATCAGGAGTGCCATTAAAACGAGCAAAATAAGAAAAAACCCATCCAAATCCCAAATCATTGGTTTCAGAACGAAGAAAATGGAAGCATCAGCAGCCGAAAGCAGGTGGGTCGATATGCATATGGGACCTTCCAAGCATCGGAGTCTGCACCTCATGGTTACGGGATTATGAACACGGGTTACTAATTGGACACGATCACGGAACTCGGGCATCCGTTTTGAACGACGGTTGCTAAGACGTTGGCGCGCATCCACGCTACTAATCGCGGCGGGACCACCACACCGGGGCGTCTTCGCAATTCGTAGGGCACATCGTCGATAGGGAATCCCCAACAGGAGGGGGGTCGTATTTGGGCTGGGAAAGGATTTATTTTGATAGTTGATTTTTCTCGCTTCACGGATGTTGCAAAAGGGAGGGGTAGTACTTGCTCATAGAGTGGTGGTTGACTTATTGTTAGTGTGATTTTCTTGTTTCACATGTGCTATTTACCCCCCCCCCC